CCAAAATAAAACTTCAACTTGACAAGGACTCCAATAGCATTTCAAACTGAATTCTTATTTATGCATACTTCAATTAGAATTCTTCAATTATTTCAACAAAGAATTCAAGTCACACCCAAATTCTAACAATCTCCACCTTGACATGAATTCCGCCACAGAATGAAAGGCTTCTTCAACAATAACCAAAAAAGTAATTTCTCCAACAAAACACAATACTCCACCTATTCCAATAAATCCAAACACTACTCTACAAAATTACCTCAGATTTTCAAAAAATGATAATGATTTTAAATTAATCAAAATTGGTTGTAACACACCCCAAAGTAGAATCAAACCTAAATACTTTTAAAGAAGACCCCTTGCTAGAGTATACACCTTCTACTCTACTTAAAACATGCTCAACAAAATCAGCATCTACATATCATTTTCCATTAGATCCGTCCCTAGCAATTGAATACAATGGCACCGCAGGATATGGTGGCAAAGCAGCATTATCCATATCTCCTGAACTCCACTGAATCGTATTATTCAAATTTGACCATTTATGAGCTCCTAAATGTATTGTACCAAACTGAATGTCCACCACAGTCCTGAAATTGTGCTGATTGACTCTTCTAAATTCTGCACGACCTTACAAGATGTATAACTAAGACCCTTTATGTCCCTCTAATACNATTGACTCTTCTAAATTCTGCACGAACCTACAAGATGTATAATTGAGACATTTTCTGTCCCTCCAATACAATTTGGGTACCCTTAAAAACTTTCAAAACTCCACATCCACCAAAGAACTCATAACCTTTTGAATCAAAGATAGACAATGAAATGAGATATTTCTTCAAATTTGGAACATGTCGAACCTGGACAAGTGTTCTAATTATCTCATCCAAAAGCTTCAATCCGACTGTACAAATTCCAGCAACCTGACAAGATGCATTATTTTCCATAACCACAACACATTTGGAAACTGTTTTATATGTAGTAAATAAGTCCTTATTATGACACATATAAAACACATATGTTAAATCAAGAATCCAAGTATCTTTCGGTTTAGACTCAATGTCAGAAACTAGATGTTTCATCTTCTCTTTTGAATACAAAGTATCATATACTTTTTCTATGGTGAGAGTATCACGACTATACAAGATCGTGTCTCTAAATGAAGAAAATGAAACGGGGCAACGGACACAATAGGATCAAGGCCAAATCTTCTTCATCATACTCTACTTCCAAAATTTTTAAATCGGCGACGATCTCTTTAAATACAGTTAGTTGATCTTTCAATAATCCTCCTTTTGCCATTCGATGAGAGTATAAACGCTGCTTAAGGTTCAACTTGCTTGTCAAACTTTTAGTCATGCACAATTGCTCCAACCTCAACCATAAAGCATCTGTTGAATTCTCCTTCAAAACGTCCTGAAAAATAGTATTTGATAGATGAAGATGAGTATGAGAAACTGCCTTCTTATCCTTCCGTAATTTCTCCTTTGCAGTTAAAGTTGCGGGCATCCTGTCAATTCCCAGCAACGCATCATCCAAATCCAGTTGTGCGCATCTTAACCTGACATAGTGAAAATCTAGTGCTCCGATCTAAAAGCAAAATGTCATATTTCATGGAAGTAATCACAAATAAAAAACCTCGAAAACAAATTAAACATTGCACTCTTGCGGAACTGCTAAACCTGGTGCTCTGATACCAATTGTTGTGAAACAAACCATCGAATTGAGATGTTAAAGTTATATGACAAATAATAATGAAGTATATGATCAAGTAAAAGAATAATAAAAACAAGAATATGGCAGATGAATTAAGAGATTTTAATGCACCAAAAATAATGGAGAAGAGAGAAAAATTACAATAAATACTATA